GCACTCAACATCTCGTCGGACTTCGCAGTTCAGATATGAGATCAATGTCTCGTCTTTGCGATCCAGCGGACGTCTCTAAGGCAAAGCATCGATGGGTTGGTCATATGGGAAGGACAGACGACAGATGGACACTAAGAACTCTGAAATGGATTCCTCGCGAAGCAAAACTTCCTCGAGGGAGGCCACCGACCAGATGGGCTGACGTGTTTGTTGCACGGATGGACCAGCTGAATTCTCAGCTGGTAACGAGTAATGGACCTCGCGAACGTCGCTGGCGCATTTCAATACCAATATCGTGGACGACGCTAGCGAGAGACAGAAACGGATGGAAACAGGGTTGCGGCCTGCACGACAAGTGAAGACAGGCCATCTAAGTGTCTAAGTGTTGTATCTACTATGTAGATTAAATTAAATTCTGTTTGAAGATTATTAAATGTATATAATCTTTTTAATTATTATAAGCCTCATAATCTTCAGGCTGTAATCATTAGAATTAACTCTTGGTAGGTGTGAAGATGCCGTGCCATTACAGGGCGAGATGCGGGCACTCGTGGAAACTGGATTAATTGCGATATCGCAGAGGCGGGACAAGTAAGCTTTTTCAATGTTTACCCAGGTGATTTCTATGTTTTGTACAGTTGTTAATCACTGCGAATTTAGAATGTGGGAAAATCAACAATGAGATTTCAACCAAAACTGTTTAAAGGTTGTGACAAAATTGGCAATTTTGATCTTCAAAATCTCAGGTTTTCCGCTTAAATTAAATTGACCATGGGTAATTTTCCAAAAGAGTATAACTTTTTCACATAAGTTAATTTTCATAATCTACTGTGTTTCCCAATTTGCAATCAAAAAGTAGTTGGTGCCAGTGATTTTAGATTTCTTCTTTAAATATTGCAAATTCTTGAGCTTCTTGCTTTGCTCTAGTGAGGAATCATGCTCTGAGCCTAAATTTCTATCCCAGGTCTCTTTCGTATAACACCTTGCTCATAGCTTTTTTCAAGGGCTCTATCTCAATTATTACAAAAATTGTGGATTTGTTAATCTTTTTGCTATCTCAAAATTTAGAGTCAGGAAGCAAATGAAATGATTTGGACATATTTTCAGTCGTCAGGCAGTCAGAATTTTGAGGTTCCTAATAATGAGTTGCTGCCTTGAGAAGGCCTTTTACCAATAGATTGCTCCAACTGATAGTTAATAACTTGAAATTATTTTTAGAAAATTTTTTAGACCGTCATACATCATCCAATTTTTGTGAAAAAGCAAAGGAAAAATCGTTTAGGGTTTAAGGTGGAGCCTTGAGTTCCTTAACAATTAGGCACTCCCTCAACAAGATAATGTTGAAGCTTCCCTACCCTCCTGTGAGAATGTTCATGCGCGCGGAATAAGTGTTCTTGTCTTATTACATTCCATATACACTCCATGTCCGTCCAGAAACATGCTCCAGTAAGGATTCGACGTTTTTTCAATGCGAACGTTTGGGCGGGAAATTTGAACGTGTTTTGCAGTATTTGTATGAACGGGTTTTCCTAAGCGAATAGGCAATGAACACCCGCCAAAATTGGCGTAAAGATGCGAAACAAAGAGTAGAAGAAGTGTTTGAGAAATCTTTGAAAAACCATGAAAAAATCGCCGTACCTTATTGTGATTTAAGTCTCCGATGGGAAACCTCAGATCTCCAATTAGCAAACACTTTTTTGTTTTTCATAACTTCACTTTCCTTATACCAAATACTTTTTCTGCACTCCTTGATCCAACTTATAGCACAAGAACCTTAAAGAACCTCCTCTCTTTTTCAATAAGGCCCTAAATCGTTTCAGCTTTATGAAGAAAACGCGCTCCAAGTAAATAGCACTGCAGTACTTGTCTTGTTTGCAAGCGTTTGTACAGGATTCAAATGGGGGTTTCGTAAATTCCTGGATTTTCAAGTAAGTATTCGTTCTCGTCAAAGTTATTTGGTTTGATTTCCCAATCTTATGTAGAGCAGATTGTTGCAATCGCACGCATGAACCCAGTTTACAAAAACTGAGAGTTGACAGAACTTTTTGTGAAAATAAATTTATTTGCAGATGCCAAACATATGTACATAGTAAGGGGAAGTGAAAGCTCGCGTGTTCATTTGCTAAGATCATATTCTCTTAGAAACACCGGGGAGGTCACGGGAATGGAATGAGTCATAAGCAAATATATGCTAACTGCATAAGACCCAATGAACAGTCGTCTAACAATACAAAGTATCATTATATTTGTCTTTAGATTAGGATAGCAGGCTAGTTCAAAATTGGAACAAAATGATAAACATTTTTCCCTAGCCATACCATGGCATGGCGCAAATCCAATTATGTATTGGAATAGCGGCCATAGCTGCTGCAAGGATACCAATGGTATCTGCAAAAGTGACAGTCGACAAGGCAAACTCGCGAATCGTTGGATCCACCTGGAAAAAGAAAGAGCACATGAAGCCCATTAACTCCAATATTTTGTATCTTACCTTTCTGTGAATGTGATAGAATGTATTCGCATAGTTACATCCACCAACTATGCCTACTATGAACATCACAACACACACAATACCAAAGTGGGGAATGAAAGCGTTTATTGCAGTAAAGAATATTAGCGTAGCGAAGGACGTCTGCAATGTTGAGAATAAATTACTGAGAACAGAAAAGGAAAAACAGAATTACCTGAATAACAGCAGTGAGTGAAATGCAAATTAAGTTGAGTTTGACGATGTTAATGGAGGAGCGTGCGATAAACACTCCAACGTGATAGCACACCTAGAAAGAACGCAAATCAGAAGAGCAAGGAGGCGACTTAGAATTGTTTCCCTTCGTAAAGCGCTTCTTTTGCATATACAGCGACATCTGTGAAATTTGAACAGAAGTTATTCAGTTTAGCGCATAATATCGCCAGGCGATAAGTATATTGCAAGAAACCTTAAGAAATCCAGAGGGAAAACCTCACTTATTCTTTGCTAAAAACCTGACTTCTGCTGCACTTCGAAATTCCAAACATAGTCCTTGTAAATCATTTTGACCGGGGTCAAGCATCACTGTATCGCGACAAAAATAATCATACTGAAAAATACCGGGGGAAAGGAGGGGATCGTAAAAGGGGATCAAAAGGATAATGTGACTATTACTCGATTTGTCTCAGATATCCGAGTATAAGTTGAAAAAAATCAACAGTTATAATCCTATCGCGCTGAGTGTGTGATAAATCTCCAAGTGTCGATAGATTTTGAAGTAGCGGCATGAAATTACAGTGCAGAAATAGTGTGGGTAACATATCTCATCGAGAGGACCATTCCCTTAGCATTTGCTAGGATTTTGATTGGTGACGTTTCAGCTGTCACCAATTAAGATCCTAACAAATGCTGTCACCTACTGCCTGTTCCAAAATTACGAATCGCTTTGCTACTAACATTACGCGGTACTTCTAGTACAAGATTGATTCATTTTTTAAATTTAGTTCGTTTTTTTTTCTTTGTTATACCCGTACTCGGAAAAAAAGGTTTTGAAATCAAGTTAAACACACTTTTTTTGAACAAGTAGTATTAACCGTAGTTGTACAGGAGGCAGTTTAACTCCCCTTTTTTCTCCTAGCATAATCCACTATTTTTCCTCTTCGAGATTAGTAATTTTGTGGAGAATCGTTTTCAGAAAAAAAGAGAATATAAGCATAAAATTGCGTCATTCATTCCTCACTTCTCGGAATTTTGCCATTCTAAACACATCGCTCCTGACCTGACGTCTCGCGAGGCAACAGCGCAGTTGTTTCTGGACCTATATTAAAGGCCCAAGCCTCATATTCTGTTTCTTGCTTAAATCATTGTCGCATGCATTCTCGTCTGAAATAGCTTCTTTCTGTGGCAAGCTTTTTTGTACAGCATAGAAAGAAGATGTACACATTTTCTTGCTCTGCATAATTCAAAAGAAGTTATTCAATAAAAAGACATATGTTTATGTTTCTGACACTTACATCAACTTGTTCGTATTTTTCTAACCAAATTAGTGGATTTTGAAAGCTTTACGAGCAGAATCTATGTTCATTCGAAAGGTATGTAGTTGAGCATAGGGGAAAGAAGGAGGGGAAGAGCGTTTTATCGGAATAGAAATGGGGTAGCTGTGACGCAATGTCGCGCTTAACCCTCAACTGTGAAAATCTATTAATTAACGTTCTGATATCTTAATCTAAAATCAGCTTACTTATTTCCAAAGAAGCAATCGGTAATCGCTTGGAGCTATTTATCAACGTCGTCCTGTTTGAAAACCGTTGTAAAAGATTTCCCGATTTAATCAGAAGGCTTCTTTGATTCACTTTGTTTTAAGTCAATCTTTATAACCTTCGCAATTTCGCGCTCATGCTAGGCCTCTATATGAGTCAACTGCCTCCAAAATTCCCCCTCCCTGGTATCGTTGTGTTGGTTTTCATCTAGACTAAGCTGTCTCTAGTCAACGTGATTGTCCATCCTCTCATCTTTGGCCTTCCTTGTGAGCTTTCTCCAAGAGCCTTCAGCGGCACAATCTTATGATGTGGGTCATATCATTCTACATGTCTGTACCACGCAAGTTCAGTCTTGATTACATTCCTTGTACTTGCAAACAAATATTACTGAAAGAAGTACCACTATGAGTAGATAATATTGTAGACTCCTTCCTGTTTAAGCTACACGCACGACTCTAACTAGTTCTTCTAGTTCTATACCATTCTTCCTTCTCTTTCTATTTTCTGCCATAGCAACATTATCTGCATACGGAGAGCCCATGGAGGCTGCCTTTCTTGGCTTTCCGTTAGTGCGTCCATAGCCGTGATGAAGAGTAAAGGAAAGGCGCTGATCC